TGTTTAGGGTTATTGTAGTATGGATCTGTTTTTGTTATGTGTCTAAAATTATTATGTTGGTTGTGGTTTGAACACTTATTACTACTAGTTATGTACGGATTATTATGTTGACCGTGTTGACTGTTTGATCAATGTGTCTGAAATGATTTAGTCTAAGGTAAAAATGCATTCGATTTTCAGAAATTAATTTTTTTTTAGAGTTTTTACTTTGATGGACATGTCGTGGAATGTGATATGAATGTTGTATAATCCAAATATGTAATTTCAATAAAGTATATGTAATCCAAAGCTATAAGTAGAACAACCAAATCATTATAAATTTGCAATTGGCAATATATGTACAATTTTTGTTGACACTTATATGTAAATGTAATGTGTTATAGTTGTTTTGAAACCACGATGAACGTGTATACAGTACAGTACAAGATATGTAAATTAAGTGATGAAATTTTCGTACTTGATAACGTTTGAAGTATTATAAATGAATGATATTTTGAGGATGCTGTTTTCTAGGGGTTTTGCATAATACGACATATTGTTATGTGTGCAACAAAACATTTGTTTGGATAAACTTAATGTTTTTTTAACTTTTGGAAACGACACATCTTCTATTGAATGTTATGTAATATTATGAATACTAATATCATTCAATGATGAATAAATTTGTACATAAAAACTTATTATAGACTAAGATAACAATAACATATATAGATAAATGCAAAACAATATAATCGACAAACAAGGTTCTTATTAGCATTCAAACATGTCTGTAATATGAATATGACAAATCTAAAGCAATCAGATGTGAATAAAAAAATTTAAGTTTAGAACATGAACACACAATTAAAAAAAATAAAAACAAATGATAAATAAAATTAATTCTTCTTCCCATGACGTTCTTTGAAAATGTTGTTCTTCTCATCTTCTTTTCTTACAGGGCAATTTCGCCAATCATGATCGTTGCCATTGCGACAATAACTGCATCTGGAACCCTTTGATTTTTCTATTGTCACCTCTCTCAAACTTTTCATTCTTTTTTTAGTACCACTTCCTTTGTTGCGGATTTCTCCAGGATTTTGAATATCCACACTAGTGGGAATGGTAACACCAAGTGTTTTTTCGAACTCTTTATTCTTGTTTCCTTTTTCATGAGTTGTGAAATTGGAAATGAACTTTGCTTCAAGCTGCTTTATTTCGTCCAAGTATTCTTTCAATTTGGTGCGATTATTGCTGAGAGAAGATACACAGTTATCAACAGTATGAAATATATCAAGTGCAACTCTTTGCGTATTCTCGTCAGAATCAGCATAACGAAAACACTTTTTCAATAGTTCTGTGGGGATGATATCCTTCTACCAGCGTCTGAGTAAATATTTGGAAGGAATCTCTGTGATGTTATATGTCTTCATTACGGTAAAAATGTGGCGACACAGAAAACCAAATTGCTCAAACTTCATACAAGGACATGTAAATGTTTGTGCAGACTTATTGTGTGTGACCTGTATTGAATGAAGTGAAGAAGAGTTGTTAAAAAAAATATATGAAACTTAAAAGAGTAAGAGTACAAGTTTCAATAGCAATTACCTTGTAAGTAGACTCACGTATAGGTATATCCCATTGATCATCATTTTCAACTTCTGGATCAAGCTGACAAGCATTTGCATTAGAAGGAATGTAATTAATAAATTCTTTGACAAGACACTCATCAACATTGTCGAATGTGCTGATCGAAATTTGAGTACATGAAACCATAGACAAGTACATTTCATTTTGAACTTGACGAAAGACAGTGCGAGTGTAAAACATAGAGGCATTCCTCTCGATCTCAAATGGTGTCCTCATTGTTGGATGTTTGTCGTTATTTTTTGAAGTCAAAAGATGACTGAGTGAATCTTTGCTTCTCCATAGCAGCTTTAAATGACATCATGAAATGGACAAGCGTAGAACCATAATGCGTGTTCTGGTGAAATGCTGAATTCTCATTTTCAGAACGAGATGTGGTTCGCATTAATCCTGATAAAGGTATATGCTTGAAAAATGCAGGTATCTAGAAATGTCTCAATCCATGCATATCATCCAACCATTTATTATCCGTGAGTTTTATATTCATTCGGTAATGACTGCCACCTTACCTCAAAGTCATCAACTTCAAGCCTAGAATTCCATATCAAGAAGTTGAACTTTTTACGAAACTCAGGATTGTTGACAATGTTCAAAGAAACCTGTGAATTGTTAAATGTAATATATGTAATCAACTATAAAAACAAAAACATTCTGATTTGAATACACCAAAAATTGATTGTTTAATTGGTAAAATTGTATTACATAGAGAATAATAAATACCTTCAATGGCAATTTAGATGTGATATGCCACATGCAAAGCCTATGAATCGATTGTGGGAAAACAGTTTCGATGGCTTTCTTCATTGGAGGGTCTTGGTCGGATAAAACCAACAAAGGTTGTTTGCCAAAAGCTTTAAGAAAAGATTTCAACAACCATATATAGGAATCAGTGTCTTCTCTGCTCAACAAGCCAGCACCAAAAGTGACACACCTCTTGTGATTATCAATTCCAGTAAATGGGACAAAAACCATATGGTACCTGTAAAAGTATTTGAATTAATATGTATTTTATTAATAAGTAGAAGTATAATAAACTACAATCATCTACAACCTATTAGTTCGGAAAGTAGCATCGAAAGAAACTACATCACCAAACTCTTTATAATTTATCTTAGATGTTTCATCTGCCCAAAAAAGAGCATTCAACTGTTTATTCTCAACTCGATAATCAAAAGAAAAATTATTAACATTTTCTTTTCTGTTATTCAGCTTGTCCACTAGCATCTGAGCATCACTACCACCTATGAAGCAATTGAGATCCCTCATGTAATTTTTGAAGTCGTCAATTAGACCGCCTACAAAATTGTATCCACCAAGAATACTTGTATACAGTCTGTGAGTTATGGTTGCACCAATATTCTGAGTAGACATTGTAAGAATGAAAGATTTTTGAGTGTCATCCAGCTGCTTATTATGACGTGAAAACAACATATGGTCTCTTGGTATAAGTGGATGATTGTGTTTTTCTTCAAATTCATATAACAACCAATTTGTAGTTCCAGGAAAAAATTTAAAACGTATACGTGCCCTGCATCCGGTCCTACTAGTGTCAACCCTTTTCTTAATTTTACTTGTTTTTGGGTCCAACGTATCAACATGAGATGTATTTGGAAAACCTTCCCTATTACATAGCAGATATTTCATGTACACCATACCACACTTTTTTTGTTTGTTGACTTTCTAACATCAAAACCTGCTGCACATGCATATCTTCTGTACATGTCTTCAATTGCATCATCATATGGGTATTTATGGTTTATTATTGGCTTGATATCATTAGGGACATATGGAATCCAATACGATTTACCAGCTATTACCAAGTGTTGATCAATGTCTGTAACATGTAATAACCATGACAAGTTAATAACATAATACAAATAACAAATCAACAAATCAAATAAACTTAAATACATAGTATATGATACTGATTGTAAATTTTTTGATAGTATTCTAACAATATACAAAATTGTGTAATGTAATCGACACATTTTTTAAACAAACTTAAAGAAACACAAAAAAACAAACATACCAGGAACTTGAATGGATTGATCAATATTTTCAACTTGTGGGAAATCCCGTGGATTATGTTCAGCAATGATGTCGACTTTACCAATTGCGGTATTATCATCATCAGTCGAACAAATATCATCATCACTAGACATAAAATCGTGGTCGACATATGCAGTTTGATGGTAATTGATTTCATCCTGTTCATTGATCGCGTTTATATCCTCAAACTCGTTGAAGTATGAAAAATCCATTAATTGAATCTTACAGACACCTTTCAGACCGACTAAACTTGAATATCCGATTCGGGTTGACACACACGATTGACGATTGAAGAATCCATCAATGTTTGATAGGTATAATATAAAACGTTCCTTAATTATAGGAGTTTGATTGATATACTCTTTAAGGATAATTAAACAATCAAACCTTACCTTTATTAATGTAAAATATTATAATTTTTACATTAATTAATTAAATAAATTGATTAGCTGAGATTTGTCCTCATGTTCTCACTTTAAAAATGGTTCTCATTTGAACTAGATTATATATATATATATATATATATATATATATATATATATATATATATATATATATATATAGAATCAAGATCAAATAAGAAGGAAATTTTTGGTAGGAAGGTAAGAAGTTTTTTTTCTACATATCTTTTTCACGAACAAACAAAATGAATCATTAGATGATTCATTTGTAAGATGATTCACAAGAAAAAATTCTCAAAAAAACATCTTGATGATTCATTTATATAATGATTTTGTTGTTATTTACTAAAATTATCATAAAAAGTGAATTTTTTCTTAATTTACTTAAAAATGAATCATAAAGATGTTTTTCTGAGAATTTTTTCTTGTGAATCATCTAGTGATTCATTTTTTTTGTTCGTGAAAAAAATATGTAGAAAAAAAACTTCTTACCTTCCTACCAAAAAAAATTTCTTACCGGATCTATATCCTATATATATATATATATATATATATATATATATATATATATATATATATATATATATATATATATATATATATATATATATATATATATATGAAGGATCGTTTGAGAACTCAAAGTTTCCCGAGAATCCCGAGAACCAAACGAAGGATGTTAGATCAAAATAATTATAGGTTAGGATGATTTATGGCATTTTCGTAAATAACCAAGGGAAAAAAAGAGGCGGGGGCAGCTTATTTCACATGAATCAGGGGCATTTTAGAAACAACGTAATATACCGTCTCATATGGTACATCTGTTCCTGGTTGAAATCGAAAGACAAGATGGAGATTAAAAATCTAATCGGCAACCACCTCCTTCGCTCTCCAGAAAATCAACGCTAAATCCTCCTTCTCCACCACACATTCTCTCATCCTCACCGGAGATCCATCTTCGTCTCATCTCTGACCTCAATCACCATTGATTTTGCTACAAACAGTGTCGTTTTAACTTCGTCGGATGGTGTTGGTTGCCTCTGCCTCCATCTGATTGTGGAACTGTCTTCGTCTCACCTCTACCAGAAATCTCTCTCAGCCTATCGTTGCCTCACGCCCTCACCTTTTCAATTTTAGTTACAGTTAATACCACAAACTTAGGGTTTGCAATTGTTTTTTGTCCACTATTTCAATCTCGTGTTAGGATTCTAAATCTACAGAATCAACATTTCAGATACTATCTTCAACAACGATGGAGCTATCGATGAAGTTCGTCTCAAGTAAAAAGCACATGTCATAGCTCTCTGTTCTGTTCTCAGTGATATTCCTAATTCTAAAATGGTATTGTTTCCGATTTTTCAATTATATTGTAAGTTTCTCTTTATTTTTTAAATATTTGGTCTATTGATTCCTCTATCGATCCAGTAGATATGGAAACAATCTTCTAATCGCATTTGAGGTTCACTTCACTAGCCTATCAACTGTAACGGCTTATTGAGGAGTTTCAGGGCGGCGATTTTAGATATTGAGGGTATATCGGAACAAGTTATTCACAAAAGGCATTTGATTATTGCAACAATTCACCAACTCTCATCACTCCACTTTCGATTATGTTTCAAATTGTATCATCTTTTGAATTTGGTCTTCTGGTAAGTATTTATAACCTCTTCCTAGCTTTTCTCGATTTATGAGTTTAAACTTTTGTTTATAGTTCCAATTCAGTAAATTAGTTTTTGATTTTGTATAAATATATTTGTTCATAGATGTTTCTCTTATGATGGCAGCTATTTCTAGGCTATTATTTATGCAACTGTAAGGCCATTTATGAAGAGTATATTTCTAAGAACTACGAGAATGGTGGTTGAGCTGTAGTGGCTGGAACTTATGTGTGTGTGTGTGTGTCCAGATATGCTATGGTAAAATTATATGGCTTTTTATTCTATACATCTTAAATATGGATCATGATATGAATTATGTCCAAACGGGTGGTAATTACAAGTAAGGCTTTGCATAAATTATTTAGATTACTTTGTTTTGTATTAATACGATATGATTTTGGTCCTAATAATTTTTTATTTGACATGGATCTTGTTGTAGGAGTATTGAAGTTAACCCAACAACAAACATGGCATCACTATTTTAAACCCTGAAAAACTCGTTATCTTTCTTGGAGGCTCTTCTGGTTTTCCACCATCATCATCCACCACGATAGTCTAGACACCAATGTCAGCACCAGCACTTGCTGTCCTTCTATGACCTGAAACTTTGCACTCATGTTTCTTATCAAGGTATTGTACTTTTGAAGGAAGCTTTTGTTTCTAAATTTTATTTCTTGCATTTGGTATTGAATTTTCTTGTGTCTGGTGATATTTCTTTCAACCAATATTTCTAATGGACTATCGGTGGCTGTGGGCATTTATGGTATTATACAGGCTGGACACATCAGATAATTTACTGATTTCAATTCAAGACAAGATAAAATGGGCAGACACGATGAGTGAATTGGACAAGAAACATAAAAAACGGAATGAAGGAAGACTGGAAGAAGTCTAGAATGCACTCTCTCTCAAGGTCAATATTCCTTTTAATTTTCTTATCTAGGTAAAATATAAGATAAAGTCTTAATAATATTTATGTTGTGTCTGAGTTATGAAATGAATAGTTTTGTGTGTGTGTGGGGGGGGGGGGGGGGGGAATGGAAGAGTGAAAATATGAATGATTTGTTTTTGGATATTTTTGTCGATATATGTTACTTACATGTGCCCGAAGTTACAAACTGAATTCCAATCAAAAAATTTTTGGTTATCTTTCATTAGATAGTTTTAATCGTTTCACAAATATAAATGGATGTTTGGATTACAATTTTTTTTAAAATCCAATAAGTCATTTTTATAAGGCACTCAATCTTATTTCACTACATTTAAGAATTGACCAAATAGGAACTGTTGGATTAGTGTCTAAGTCCATAACTATTTTGGTATGTACTTGACCCGATGGTGCATGGTCCTTTTGGGTTGCCTTCACCAAAGCAACTTGATAGGATGATTTATGAAGAGTAAGGATTAAATATGATTTATTAATATATTATGGGAATAATATATTAAAGGAGAAATCATATTGTTTAATTAATATTAGTCAATAATTAATTGGTAATTATTTTTGTGACTAAAAGAGATTAATTAAACTTAAGGGACTGGAACTGTAATTATAGGATAATTGCAATTTGGGCCATGGATTGCCTTGTATTAAGGGATGGACGAATTCTAATGGGAAACCCATAAGGAAATCGTCCATGGGCTTAATAAAAGGAGTCTATGGGTTGCTTAGGGCTTAAGCATCCAAATTAGGGTTTCCTTGTTAGATAACCCTAATAGCCCAACTATATAAAGACCCCTTAAGGCTCAAAAACGTGGCTAAGGTTCTTGTAAGGGTTTACACACGTTTTTGGCAGCCTCCAACCTCTCTCCTCTTCATCCTCTTGCTTATGGTGTTTGTGAGCCATTAGAGGAGTGACACTTGTGACTCTAAGCCTTCCAAAGTCAATTCAAGGAGGAATTGGAATTGTTATTGCTACATAACAATCAAGGTAACACTATAAAATTATTCTCAAATATAATATGATTATATGCATGCTAGAATTAGGGTTTATAGTCTTGGATTCAAAGCATGTACAATAGAAAAAACCTAGATCTAAGCATTAGGGTTTGTATGAGCACATAGGATGTCTTATGATCAAAACCCATCAGTGGTATCAGAGCCTAGATTGGTTTCTATTGTATTGATGCTTGATATAACTGGAAAATTCGATTTTTTGGATTCTGGAGGCTGGACTCGCCGAGTCCATGGCTGAACTCGCCGAGTCCATGCAGACTCGACGAGTCCAAGCCTGACTCGACGAGTCAACTCGTCAGATTAGGATAATCTCGGGATTTCTTGCTGTTTTTGCATTGAGATAGTTACCTTATCATGTTAGATCAATATTAATCCGATTATATGATATATTTGACTATATTTTTGATCTAATAGAATATATCTATCAATTAATAAGATAATTGTTTCCTTATATGATAAGTGTTTAATTATTTTGACTTAATTGGTAAATTGTTTTGCAAGAAATCATTAAACAAATCAAATATGGATAATTATGTGATTAAATGTTAATTTGAATTATTTGTTATTTGATCCTTGTTGTTATGAAAAGTTTCATATTTTGCCCTTTAGGTTTTATAGTTTAAATTTGAACCCAAAAGTTTTGTTGTTTTGAAATTTAAATAGTTGAAACCCTAATGTTTTGAAAAAGGTTTCAAAACTTGCCCTCAAGTTTTGGAATTTAAAAGTTGATTAAAGGTTTAATTAGAAATGTTAAATTCTAAAACCCTAGTAATGTTTTGAAAAGTTCAAATCACACCCTTATGGTTTTATTAATTAATTAAGGAGTATAATTAAAAGAGGTTTAATAAATCCATAAAGTTTAGGTTAACTTTTAATTGAATTAAAAGTGTAATTGTTAAAGTTAACCATATAGTATTTTAAAAGTATAAAATACACCCTATACTATATATAACATTAAAAGTCTAACATTATATATATGTATGAGTAAAAGTCAGTCTTACCGTTAGTAGGCCTCATTCACGAAGCTGGTCTATAAGGGGTGTTTAAGGAAATTGCCTATAAAATGGCGATTGAATGGGTATCCACTCTTACCCACCGCACTCTTGACTAGTGGAGGGTCGTTAGCCGAACGGGTAGGATAGGACAAACCTTCCATTATAAGTATAATGAAATACAAAGTAACTAAATGTTTTTCAAAT